ATTGGAAAGTATGTTAGTTAGAGGATTAGGGGAGAGAATTTGTTTTGGTTGGGCAAATGGGTTTGGACTAGGCCTTTAAGAGATTTGTTTCCCAGGCTATTTACATTTTCATGTCTAAAAGAGGGGAAGGGCAAGAGATGGGTGAATGGGAGGAAGGTGTTTGGGTATGGAAGTTTATATGGAGAAGGGTTTAGATAAGGAGGTAGGTGAGTGAAGAAGTTAAGTTAATGAGGATGCTAGAAAATGAAAGGTTAATGGTGGGAGAGATGGACACATGGAGATGGAAGCATGAAGCAAGAGGTCTTTATAATTCAATAAAAAAAACATGTAGTATGATATCTTCTGAGGTGTGTTTACGTGATAAATATTTGTGTAAATTGATTTGGTGTCAATATGTGCCATCAAATGTTAGCACATTTAGGTGGAGACCTTTTTTTGATAGATTGGCTACAAAAAAAGAATTTGGTTAAAGGGGGAAGCTGTGTTATAGGATGAGGATGGGGGATGTGGGATGCGTGTTGTGTAATCAAGAAAGTGATAGAGTTAATCATTTATTTTGTTCTTGTAGATGGAGTTGGTTGGTTTGGATGAAGATTATGAAATCGTTGGGAGTGGTAGGGATGCTACTAGGTATTGTAGGTCATATGGTTGTTTATATTTCTCATGTAGGGGTGAATAGAAAGAAGGAGATAAGGGAGTTTATTTATTTGGTGATGGTGTGGTATAACTGGGGTTGGAGGAATAGAACGATTTTTAAAAGTGAGATGTAATTGTGGGATCAAATGTTGGAGTCGATTCAAAGGGAAACCATCAAGTGACTCAAGGTAAAAAAAACCAAGTTATTCATTCAATATTCAAGATTGTTGTTCCTAGCCAAGTTTGTGTGTCCAAGAAATAATGCAACATAGAAAAGCTTTGAAAGTTTACCATGCAACTATAGGAATTTAATATGGTTTTGTAAAACCAACGACCTGATAGTTCAAGTGAAAGGAGTTGGGTTCCTCTTAAGCAAGGTTTTGAGTTATCTCTTGAATTTAAGTCTTGTGAATAGAGAAACATGTGTCGAGAGAGCTTCCCCCTAATAGGGTCTGACGCATCTCGATTTTGAATTAATTGAGACTCAATGTGGTTACCGAATACCAAGTTAGTACCAAAAAAAAAAAAAAAAGGTTTTGTAAAAGTGCTTTTTTCGCTAAAGTTGTGTTTAGAGTGTTGTATTGATTTATGGGTAGTAGGGGTGTTCATATCCAATCAAATTTGATTGATCCAACCCAAACTAACATAATCCAATAAAAACCAAACCAAATTGGTATAAAATTGAGTTGGTTTAAATAATAAAATTTTAAACCGATATAATTAGTTTAGTTTGTAATTTTACCTTCAAATTACTTGAATTACTCGATTACAAAATAAAATATAATTATAAGATAACTTAATTAAATAATATAATATTTTTTTATAGTGTTTTAAATATTCCTTATCTTGTTTTACAAGATAATCATTCCATTAATTTAATTAAAAAATAAAAATAGAGCATTCCCATATTTCCTAATTTATTTTTCCTTTTTAATCGTACATTCTAATCCTAATTCTAAATTTATAATTCACCTATAACTCTCTTCCTCAAAACTAGCTTACGACTCTACTCATAGAACCTTAAATTTCTAATTTGTTCCTAAAATGATATTATGATTCTCCTAAGTTATCATTCTAGAAGTTTTAAAATTATATAATAGAACTAATCTTGATATTATACTATTCTTGAATGTTTAGTTGAGAAGTTTTAAATCTTGATTATGAATGCTTTCAATCAATCCTAGTAATATTCATGTTAAATTTTATTGATTTTTAATAGGATTTGAATGATGGGATTGAATCATTGATGCATTAAGAAAAAAAAAATTAATTTTAACTTTTAAGAATTACTTGCATTGTACTTCAAACTTAGAATTATCTTTTATTGTTCTTGGTGTCTTTGGTAATATAGCTAAGAATTTCTAGATCTTTTCAATCTTTACAATTGTAAATAAATATAAGAACTTATTTATAATTTGTGCCTTTCATTATGTTTCTATTGATTTAGATATTAATATATTTTATAGTTATATTTTTTATTTAAATTTAAAATTTTTTTACATTATCTTGTATTTTTAATAGTGTTAAAATCAATTAATCCAACCAAACCACACTGATTCAATTCAAGTTGAATTGATTTAATTATCATATAATAATAGATTGGATTGATTTAAAAATTTTACTAACAAATTAAATTGAATTAATTTAAAAAATATTAAAATCTAAATCAAACCACCTTGCAAATACCCTTAATGGGTAGGAACACTTCTTTTACTCTATATATATTAATAAAAAGTATTTTATTGGCTGATGAAAAAACGAAAATTTATCATGCATTACTCACATCAATTAATTATCTTCTAATTCCCAAATGTGGGATTGATAGTCATGGATGTAAATCTATTATGCAAGTCAATTACTAGATTATTAAAAGCAAAAGAGAAAAAGAAGAGATTGGAAATCACCTTATTGAGTAATAAAAGAGTAACCCGCGGGACCATGTTCCTTTTGGTTACTTTCTGTCTATAATGGAGATATTTAATTATGTAGTATGGATATGGGTTCCATAGTTGGTCCAGGAGAGATCCACAAGAGGAGCAGCTTTTGGAATCTTATTATGCAAGAAACACTTGGCTTTGCAAACGACACATCTCAACGTTCTTTCGTCTTTCAAATTCCAAAATTTTCAACTAAAGGTGGTCATTGTACAGTCCTCAGTACTGCCCCTGCGAAGAGACAAATTTCTCTTAATTGCTCGTGGTAGTCTCATGAGAATCTTGTCAATTCATCCCTTCTCTAACAAGCCACACTTTAATCATGACAACGTTGACGGTTAACATATAAAATATCAGGGCAGTATATGTGCATGTTTTACTGTTAATTAATAAGGGTTGGATCAAATTATAAACTGTGAAGACGTCCCGATGATGTATGAGATGTAATGGGTTGAGATACTTATGGACTTTCTTAATAAAATCTAGTTTCTTGTGGACAGAAAAAAAAAATAGAGTGAGGAGAATCTTGGGGTGTAGTGGTCATCTACAATAACGTTAAGATTATACTTTTTTTTTCTTTAAATTTTAATTGATATTTGATGGGAATAAAAACGATAGCACATATACCATGTCAAGTGATTCATTACACATTCAAAGAAATCCAGTTATGAGAGCTAAAACTAAGAAGATGCGAGAAACTGTAAATGGTCTTATTGAGCAAATCTATGTTGAAAATAACATGCAACAAGTAAATCAAAACTTGAATGATTATCAAGGCATAATAAACATCATTCAGGTTGAAGAGAAGTTTAGTTGAGATCATTTGCACTAAATTACACAGTTTGCATCAAAATTGCACAATTTTACCACAATTTGCAACAATTTATATTTTGTGTTATTTTATGTTATTTTGAGTGATTTTCATTTTTTTATATTATTTTTTGGCGTCAACCAACTTTATACTTTTAGTTTTTGTCGTCTTATAAACAGGTCAAGGTCTTTCTTTACGGCTGGTTTTTGTCGTGACCTAAACAATAAGTCAAAGACTTATTATAAATCTGATTCGGCTTTCCTGGAGTTTCAAAATCCTTTATTGTGCTGTAAATCTCATTATTCTCTTTGGGTTCTCATCAATATTTTATTAGTTTGTAATTTTTTTTAAACAATTAGTTGTGATAGTTGAAAAATCAGTCTATAAGTTGAGTTTAATATACTAAATAATAAATATTCATTATTATATCAATTATTAATCATTTTTAATAATTAAATTTAACAAAATTAATATTTTAAAATCAATATTATATAGCCTTAGCATTATTGCATATGGCTATAACTACTCCCTCATGAATGCAAGGTTTGAATATCATTCATTGTCCTACATTATTATAACAACCATTTCAACCCAAGGTGATTTAATAGTTAAAAGCTTAAAATTCTAAATTAGAAATCTCAAATTCAAATTTTAAATTGGGGAAGAAAGAATGTAGGAAAATAAGAAGGTTAACTCCTCTTGTATAATTTATCATGTATAATAATAATAATAACAACCATTTCAAATATGAAAAAAATATTAAGTTTTAATTAAATATTATATAAAAAAAGAATATTATATATAAAAATATATATTAAGTCTTAATATATATTTTTTGGTATATTAAATAGATTACGAATGGACATTCTTAATTAAATTCAAATTCAAAAATAAAAAAATAAAAATAATAATAGAATTTAAAACTATTAATTAATAATTTTCATATTAATTATTAAACGTTAAAATTTATCACAGCACACCTACATCTACATCACATTTAATGAATGCTTACCCAAGCTATTAAATTCTTTTTGGTGATAATATGAATAACAACATAATCACAATTATGGGTGCTGAACTATAAGTCTGAGTCAGATATTTAATTGTGTTTGTATTTTACTTAAAAATTTAAAATTTTAAAGTTTTAATTTTTAGTACTTATTTAATATTTAAAATATATATTTATACCCAAACAGTTGGGCATAGAGGTATCCACATGCATGCCTATGCATCTGTTGAATATTGTAACCTTCACTACAAATTAAAAAAAAAAAATCAAATATATTATAAAATATGTTTTTTGAAGAACATAAAGTACATATATATATATATTTTTTGAACAAAGGGTAATTAGCATTGCATTAAGGAAACTGCCATACGGCATCTACAAACAGACCATATCCAAAAGGATAAGGGTAACAGATAAGGATAAGGGTAACAGATAAAGATAAGAACAAACTGGAGAAACAAAGCAGAGTAGGCCCGATGCGTGGGAGGAAGGGAGGTGAAGTCACTTGAGCAATTTGGGGTTGACCGATCCAGCCATGGGACACCCTTCAATCTACTCCGGAGAGGATGGCGCGAAATCTCCAGGACGCCGCGGCAGAGATCCAGTCCGGCGAGGCCAGATCTGGAAAATTAGCGAGCACCTCCCAAGATCTGCAGGAAAAGCCGAGGGTCGCCAGATCTGAAAAACAAACTATACAAGAAAACAAAGAAAAACAAACAACAAGAAAACAGGAAAACCAAAGGGGTCACCAGAAAAGGGCCCAAAAGCCGACAGACCCGGAGGGTCATCGGAGGAGGGAGCACAGGGCGACTCCATCATGCTTGAGCGGCCGGGGAGCCCGGCGGCTCAAGCATCAAAACCTCGGAAGCTCAAAGGCTCCCGAGCAAAACCAACGCAGCACCGGAGAAGGGGCAGAAGCAGGAGAGAAGGGAGAGAAAAGGGGGAAAGAGAGAGAGAGAATCTAATACATAAAGTACATATTTAAGTTCATATGTATTGCATTGAAATAATTATTAAGGGGCCGAAGCCCCTGAAAACAGAACATGGGCCTAATGGACGTGGCGCGCCCAAAGTCCGTTCTTTTCTTTTGTTTTTAACAGAATGGTTCCCTCAATGTAGTAGTTTAAATTCATTTTAGTCCTTGAACTTTTTAGCTATTAGTATTTAGCATATATTTTATTAGAATTTAGTATTAAAGGTTTAGGGTTTAAATTATCAGAGAACAAAGTCTAATATTTAATGTGCAGGGTTTAGGGTGCAACTCAAAGAGGGAGAGTGTGAAAGATGGGAGCGGAAATAGACTGTGAATGTTGTATATTCTACAAAATTAGCATAAAATTTTTTAGCAAAAGAGAATGATGAAACAAGCAAAGAAGTTTCAGAAGTTTGTGAAATCCACTAATTCCGAGCAAGGTTAGTGTTTTTGGCATGACCAATTGGTGAAAGATAAAATTCAAATTAGATTCAACTTATTCAAAAGAGGAATATCTATATTTGATGCTCAACCCTTACCATAACTAGACCTGGCAATTTTTTACCCAACCCGTTAACCCGCCCGTTATTCACCCGTTTAAAACGGGTTAGGGTCAAATATTCATGACCCGTGACCCATTAATAACCTGTTAACAGAACCCGACGGGTAATGGGTCAATAATGGATTGATCCAACGGGCTAACGGGCTTGACCCGTTTACCCATCTGAAAAGTAAATATTTTTTTAATTTATTATTTATATATTTTATTTCCTAATTTTCAAATCTCAATCTCACCTAAATCCCTAATAAATAGCTAATTTTACCTAATTGGTTACTTCTCTCGGCTCACCATCTTCAAGAAGCCAAAAAAATCCCAGACTCCTAATGTCCCACCCCACCACTCATCATCTCAGTGATCTCATGACCTTTCCTATTCTTCCTCTAATATTTTCAAAAACTCTAACTCTTCCAACTCTCCTCAGATTCTCCAATCTACAGCCTCCATAGTTCGGTATTTCAAGCTCTGACTCGACAACTCCACCGTTCTTAAATATTACCGTCGCTCGCATCAACTCCGGCTTCTTCTTCTTTTCTCCTTTGATTCCGACAAGTTACAGTACTCTCTTCAACACCAAATTCTCTCTAAAGCCTTCAAGGTAACCATGGGTGGTTTTTGGTTGCATGTTCTAATCTAACATGGTTGTTTTCTTCTTTGTATTTCCTCAATTCTACTTTTTCTATTTTAATTTTTGCATGTTTTGGTGGCCACAGATGAAAAGGAAAAGAAGCGATGGAGATGGTCAATTTGAAAAACTATCTGTAATTGCACAATCAGAATCCGAATCAAACTCAGACCCTTTCATTGGTATTTGCTTGTTACAGATTCTATTTTTATTTTTTTAGTTTGTTATAAATTCTAATTATGAATTTAAATTTTGAATATAGTGGATGTTGATAAAGGCAAGGATAAGAAATATGCAAGCAATATTGGCTCTTGCTCTGTACTTGGAAAAGAGGTGGTCGAGTTTGAGGTGCAAGCAAAATCCAAGGCACGGGGGCTATTGAACAGGCTTCTACCTCTGCTGTTTGGGAACATTTCATCCTTATATCTGCTTTAGAGAATAAGGATGGAGTAAGAAAAGGTAAATGCAAATATTGTGGAAAAGAATACATCTGCACAGGAACTCATGGCACTTCGAATATAAGGAGGCATGCTCCGAAATGCCCTCGTCGAGTGCAAAAAGATCCTCTCCAAATGATGTTAAATAATTCTGGAAAATTAGTGAAAAAAATTGATCAAGAAACTTTTAAAGAGTTGTGTGCTATGGTTGTTATTAAGCATGCGTATCCTTTTACTTGGGTTAAGCATGAAGCTGTTAGGGAATTAATGAAGTATTTGAATGTAGAAGTGAAATCAATTTGTAGGAATACTGTGAAGAATCATTGCTTGAAAATTTATAAGAGGGAGAAAGAGAAGATTAAGGAGAGTTTGAAAAAACTGTCTAGTAGAATATGTTTGACTTGTGACATGTGGACATCTGCCGTAACGCAAGGATATCTATGTCTAATTGCACACTGTGTTGATGATGATTGGAATTTGCATAGTTTGATTTTGAATTTTCTGCATGTCCAACCCCCCCATACTACTAGGAATTTATATAAAGTTGTGTATGATTTGCTTAAAGAGTGAGGGATTGAGGAGAAAATTTTTTCAATTACATTAGACAATGCAAGAACTAATGATAATATGCAAGAAATTTTGAAAAATCAACTTAATCTTGAGAAGCCACTGTTGTGTAGGGGGAAATATTTCCATGTTAGATGTTCTGCTCATATCTTGAATTTGATTGTGCAAGAAGGCTTGAAATTGGTTGATGAAAGTGTTAAGCAAATTAGGGAGGGGATAAAGTATATAATTGCTTCTGAGGCTAGAATTTTGAATTTTAAAGATTGTGCTAAACGTTCAGGTTGTGATTTGAGGAAGGGATTATGGTTAGATTCCCCTACTAGGTGGAATTCTACACACACTATGCTTGATAGGGCACTCTTATATAAAGAAGCTTTTATTACTTTTGAGTTGGATGATGAGCATTTTAAATGTTCATTGGATGAAGAAGAATGGACTCGAGTTCTTAGAATTTAAGAGTTATTGACACCTTTTGTTGAAATTACTGCTTTGTTTTCTGGATCGAAATATCCAACAGCAAATTTGTACTTTAAATCTGTGTGGATGATTGAATGGTACTTGTTGGATTATATGAAAAGTGAGGATGCATATTTAAGGGAGATGGCCAGTAGGATGAAGGATAAATTTGATAAGTACTGGGACTCTTACAGTCTGATACTTGCATTTGGCATTATTCTTGATCCTCGTTACAAGCTAGACTTTGTAACATATTGCTACCAAATGCTAAATAAAGATGACGAGGAAAAATGGAAGGCTGAGATTGAACATATTTCTAAATTGTTGTTTGATCTGTACAATGAATATGTAATAGATAACAGCTCTAGTACTAGCAAGGAAAGTACAATAACAATAGATTCTACATGTACTACCAGCAAAAGCATGATGTTCAGCCAATTACAAGGTCGTAATCCTATCAAGGTAAATGTATGTACCATTTTTCTGCAATTTTTCTGCATGCTTCCGTAATTTTTCTG